TGCTCATAGGGGGTCATATTGTTGTGGGGTTTTTCTGTATCTATGAAGCGCCTTGAGGCGACTTTTGTTGTGATTTGGCGCTATATAAATAAAACTGAATTGAATTGAATTTTTCATCCCCGGCTCAAACTACCATCAGGTTCCTTACCTCCATTTTTTTCTGGGGGAGCACTGTGGTGTATCTTTAAGACCGACTAAGGCTCTCAGTCCATTTGTTTGTTTTCTCCACTTCCAAACAAGAGTTGCTCCACCTGAGACAGCAAGGAGGAAGTCTGTGCTACAGCCCATCAGCATCAATGGGTGCGTGGAGGGTGTCCAGTTTCAAGTTCCTGGGTGTGCACATAGACATAGACCTCCAATGGAGCTCAAATACCTTGGGCGGTTGTAAAGAACACCCAACAGCTTCTCCACTTACTGAGAATCCTCAGAAAAGTAGACCTGAAGTGGGGGCTGCTGATTGTCTTCTACTGTTGCTCCATTGAAGGTGTGCTGACATACTGCATCTGTCTATGGTTCTCCAGCTGCACCACAGCACACAGGAAGGCACTTCAGAGGATCATTAATATGGCCCAAAATATAATCGGACATCCTCTTTCCTCCCTCAATGACCTGTACAGCTCTCACTGTCTCAAGAGGGCACGCAGCATCCTGCAGGACTGCACACACCCAGGACACCGGGTGTTAAGCTGCTGCTGTCTGGCACGAGATTCAGTTTGCTGAGGTGGCGGACAAACAGACTCCAGAATAGCTTTTACAGGGCAATAGCTCAAATCAATGCTAACAGACACCAAAGCGCTCCTCAAAGACAAGAGGAGGGCCTTCCGAGCAGGCAATAGAGAGGAGGTGAGAATGGGTCTATGGCGTTATTAAAGGGAAAGATCAGAGAGGCTAAAGAAAATTACAGGAGAAAACTGGAGTGAAAACTCCAGCAGAAGCGCATGAGAGTGGTGTGGAGTGCTGTGACACCCCTCTGCCACCTATTACTGTTACTCACGACTAGATGCAAAGACAAATGAGAAGACTCCACTCAGGCAAGTCTGCTGGCCAGACAGGATGAGTCCCCGTGTCCTCAAGG